TCCCTGTTTGTTTATCCATCTGCCCACCAATCTGGTCTATCTATCTATCTATCTATCTAACCTGACGGTTGCAAGATGATAGGTGGGTGGACTTACTCACACACTGTCAGGGTGGACTCCTAACTTCACTGGGGTCACCAGTGTCGTCTTCCGCAGCTAGCCTCTATCGAGCCCTAGTGGTAGAGTAGGTATGGGGGAGTTGTACTCTCTATGTTGTCCCATAGGTTTACATTTAGTTCCCCATGGTACTCGACAAGTAAGGAGGCCGAAACTCTGAGCAGAGCCAGCAGAGCAAAGGCCAGCCAACCCTAAACCTAAACCACAGAGTTTCGAAATGGGAGTTTCAGAAAATAGGGGACCCTAATATAGCACCCTAAATTGTAGGATCCTGAGAATGGGGATCCCAAATTTCGGAAACCACCAACAGAGTTTCGAAATGGTGACGATCCTAACCCCTAAACCCTAAACCGCTACCATAGAAACCCTAAGCCCTAAGCCACAGAGTTTCGAAATGGTGACGATCCTAAACCCTAAACCGCTACAATAGATCCCGGCGTTCATCCTTCGGCAGTCGCTCGGGGTTTGTGGTCAGCAGCCTGTTTCCAATCCCTGGCCAGCTGGGCGGTGGTTTGGAGCTGACAGTCGGCTTGCTTCCGAAGCCTGGGAGCGGTAGTTAAGCCTGCTGAGATCGTGGAGCTTACCTTTGGTTAGTAGGGAATGGAAGAATGGTAGTAATAGTAGTTATAATTGTACCCCATTCCTCCATTCCCTACTAGCCAAAGGTAAGGGAGAGAACTTGTAGAGAACACCAGGCACCTGCAGCGAAAGTACACGGTTGATTGCAAGGCAAAACCCAAGAACCAGCAACCATGCATCGGGCCTGAGCAAGACTTTCTTCGGTTTCAAAATCGAGCACAGCCTGTCGGCAATGGCCACAGGCAAGACCCGACACCGCACAAGCACCACCACGAAATAAACAACGAAGTCCAATACAAGTAGCCTAGCCCCTCAAAGCCTAATTACGTGGTGTGTGTGCTTCCAGTCTTGACAACCCAAGCTGCAAACTTCAGTCAACCGTGCGATCTGGTGATTTAGTGTTTTTTGGCAACGATGTACCTATTTTTTGGTCCAAACCCCTAAACCCAAAACCCAGAGCCAGTCCGTGTGAGGGCCGAAACCCCGAACCAACACTACAAAGCCCGAGGACCCCAAGCCCAGGCAAGCGAGGCCCAGAGGAGCCTCCAACCCAAAACTTGCAAGCTTAAGCCCTGAGACTCCTGCAGTCAGAAGAAGGTGTGGAACAAAATCCCTAAACCCGAAGCCCTAAACCCTTATAAACCCGAAGCCCTATCCCTAAACCCAAAGGCCTAAACCCCGTAATCCCTAAACTCCTTAAACCTTCATAAACCCGAAACCCTAATCCCTAAACCCTAAGCCCTAAACTCCTCAAACCTTCATAACCCCCAAACCCTAAACCCTAATCCCTAAACTCCTTAAGCCTTCATAAACCCCAAACCCTAATCCCTAAACCCTAAGCCCGACGCCCTTCTATGAACCGCGGAGGCCCAGATGAGCCTTTCGAGTTCGTTTCGGATGAGCCCTTCCAGCTCCCGAGCAGCACTGCGAGGTTTGTGAAGGATGCCATATGGGTAGGGATTAGGGCTTTTGGGGTTTAGGGGTTACGGGTAGGGTTTAGGGATTTTTGGGTTTGTGAAGGATGCCATATGGGTAGGGATTAGGGTTTTTGGGGTTCAGCGGTTTCTCTACATTAGGGTCCCTTTTGGGAGATCCGTTGGGAAGGGTACCGTGCGATTTTGGGGACTCATTTAGCTGTGTTGGCGTTTCGGGAATTTTTTAATTTCAGGTGTTTGGGGCATTGGGGTAGGGGGCTAGTGGGACTAGGTCTGCATGCTGCTTGCTGTTTAGGGTCACAGTGAGTTTCCAACGTAGCTAGTCCTTAACACAGTGCTACAGTGTCAGAACACCCCAAGCTTTAAAGATCCCAGAACCCAACCATACAGTGTCATTGTCATGCCTGCCTCGTCGTGGACATGATTGAAGATTTCGACATGCCTGGCCCCCAGTGTCAGCGCCATAGGAGGGTTGGCGGCATGAACCATTCGCCGCAGGGTCATAGATAGGTTAGGGGTGCGGCATGACACATTCGCCGCTTAGTGTCAATGAACTTAAATTTTAAAGTGCTAAACCCTGAACCATAACCCCTTAACCCTAGGCCCTAAACCCTGGGGGACCTCGAAGTACTATCCTTACAACGGTCATTCGCTACATCTAATTATTGTAATTGTCTATTGCTTAAGTGCCAACATCAGAAAGCCTCTTAAACTTCTCATAATATCCGTATTACTTTCACTACTATTGTTGGTAGTGGTAGGAGAAACCATTACTAGTATTTAATGTTATTGACCGCCACTGCTTATGATTTCTGCCACAAGCCAAATCTGACTATGGTTGACTCCAACCCATTGTCATACATAGGGCTGTGGTTTAGGGTTCAGGGTTTATATGGTCGGTTTAGACCTTAATTACAGGGCTTCGACACGCACACTCGCTGATGCAGGCAGGTGATAATTTAACACAAAAAACCAATCACAGCAGCACACATAAGAACAATTCGTATTTGGCGGCATGCACCATTCGCCGCAGGGTCATAGTTAGGCTAGTATAGGGTTGCGGCATGACACATTCGCCGCTTAGTGTCATGAACACTGAACCCTAGACTAAACCCTAACCGTAAACCCTAAACCACTTCTTCTGTAGGACCCTGAGTGAACAACCATTACCAGGTTAAACCTCAGTAGTAGAAATAGTCCCACAATAATATGCTTATTATTCAAGCTATAACTATTCATTGATAATTAGTAAGAATCACAATCTGGTATAAATTAATGGTAAAGTATTCATTAATAGATAAGACTGAACAATAAAAATATTAAGGGTTAGTGTCAGTTTGCGGGTTGGGCCATTAGGTGTGTAGTGTTATTAGTGCAGCTTGCGGCATGAAGCATACGCCGGGTAGTGTCTCTAGCGTGTAGCTTGCGGCATGAAGCATGCGCCGCGTAGTGTCACTGCTTGAGTTGGTGGGTTTTGGTAGAGTCAACGTCAGGATTCCGGACATTCAGGGTATGCCCATGATTCATGCCCAGGCCTGGACCTCGCGGAGCATCAGTGTCAAGATCATGGCCGTATCTCGTCAGCATTTGGCACTTACCGTCGGTCTGAGATCGTGCAAGCTCCAGTTGTCAGAGCCGTCTTGTCATCAGACTTGCACATGCCGCTGATGCTGACGATCAAGCTTAGAAGCTGGAAGCCTCGCATAGCGTCAAAAAGTGCTGCAATGTGGTGGGGCAGCAGCACGCAGAGGACTCATGCAGCAAAGCATGGAGTGCTGAATCATTGTCATTTAAAAATGTAAAACACATGCTATGTAAGTACTGCACTGATCAGGAGCACAAGCTCCGGACTTCGAGGGTCAATCCACAAGGCCTCCCAGCAGATGCTCGACAGGATGTCAGCAGAGTTAGACCGCCAGAAGGACCGTGTCTTGATTCAAGTGTTTGAGCCTTCAGGGTCAAAACTTCCAGATTGTTTTTCTGTCAGGAGCTCCACGACAGAGAGTCAAAGGAGTGGGCGGAGGAGAAGGCGCGCATGAAGAAGGAGCATGAGAAGGAGTTGAAGGAGAGCTTCAGGGTCTCCCTTCTCGTAGCTGCCGTTCAAAACAGTATGCATTTCAGACACGCCACTACATGTGTGTTTTTTCCAGGAAAAGGAGAGTCAGCGTCACGCTGACAGGGGGGAGGCCGCCAAGCAGATGGCGCTGATGTCCGTCGAGTGTCAGAAAAAGATGGACGAGATCGGGGCGCACAACTGCAAGATCCTCGACAAGATAGTCAAGGAGCGTGACTTCGCGGAGCAGAAGTGTCAGAACCACCTCAAGCTCTACGAAGTTCCTTGGCCAGATTGGTGTGCCCTAGTGTAACGCTGAATTTCAGAGTGGGAGTCAGAACTGCTGCTTTGAATGTCTTGGTGCAGGAGACTCGTGCAGAGTTAACCAAAGAGAAGGAGCAGCGCGAGTATGAGCGTCAGAAGCGCTACCGGCTTCAGCAAGAACTAGATGATTTGAAGGCCTTGTGTCAGGCTTCGGCAAAAAAGAAGCCAAAGACCAAGGCCGATGCCAAGGAAGAAGCCAAGCCAGTGTCAGAGTGATATTAAATATCGTCTTTGTGCTGACACAATAATCTTAACTTAAGCCAGTGTCAGAGTGATATTAATATCGTCTTTGTGCTGACACAATAATCTTAACTTAAGCTAAGCCAGAAGTCAGAAGTGGTCACTGGATTTGGCATGACTTCAAGCTCCTTGGTTCTTCCGTTTCAAAGTGCGGTCAGGGGTATACTGCCTCATTTCGATCCAGACTATCACACTAACTCTATAGTCGTCACAGTCGCCATGACAGCTTCTAAGATCAGTGACCTAAAATCATTGAGTGGGGCTGGGGCACGTATGCGTCTGGCCTGCACCATTTTGCAGTGACTGTGTTAGAGTCAGCGTCAATCGTCTAGCGCAGACGGAAAAAAGTGTGCCGAAGATTTGCAAGTTAAGCTGGGCCACGGTGTGATGTGCTGTTGTACTGCTGCTTGCTCCCTGTCCTGATCCAAGGCGTGGGTGCTTCGGTTCGAGCTGCAGCAGGGGGCCCAGAGTCAGCAGTTTCAGTGCAGTTTCAGTGAGAGGTTTCAGAGTCAGAGGGGATGCTAGTGCTAGTTCAACAGTCTCCTGTCTGCCATTGGCATTGCTAAGTTGGTGAGTGCTAGTGCGAAGCCTGTCTTAACTCCTGCCACACGTGGTTGAAACACGTACTTTAGCACTGCCAGTGTTACTAGTATTATGCACTAATAATGAAACACCAGAGTCGAATCGCGAACATTGTCATGTGCCGCCTCTCTGCCCAGGCCTTCGCATTGGAGACCCTGACCATTGTCGGCATGAAGGTGCCTGTGCCTGCCTGCCTCATGGTCAGAGTCAGACTGTCGTTGGAGCGCTGTTGCTTTGTTTTGCGATTGCTGCTGCAGCTGGTCCAAGCCAAGGCTGTGCAGCACGGTCATGCTGTGTAAGACATTCAAGACATTGCATGTTGCAGGAGAGTCACGGTGCAGTGGACAATCCAGCGCATTGTGCCTTCATTCGACTTTAGATTTTCAGCCAGTGTCAGTGAAACCTCCTTCGGTGCATGGCCAACGACCACAGTGTTGCAGTTTTTAAACTGCCACTCAATCAACAGCGCGTCGCCCGAGAGTCATTGGATCGTGGAGCCCAACAAGCCCCCGAGCTGCAGTTTCACATGATGGAGTGCATTCCGTTGAGTGTGATTACTTGACATGGAATCAGGTTGCCTTTTTGTGCCACTTTTTGGAACCGAACATCTCCAGCGATCTGTTACGTCACGTACGAGACACTGACAAAGGAAACGTCAGTGGCTGGACGATAGAGTCAGCAAAGGTGGCCGTCCGCGAGCGACTCTGCTGACATTGTCCCTAAACCCTAAACCCCTGAACGTGTGTGAGCGCCGAAACCCTAGACCCTAAACCTTCTGAGGCTCAATGACACGCGCGGGATGCCATCAATCTGATGGCCAGGATGGCTCGGACGCTTGTCCGCGAAGTAAGCTAAGTGCATTGGCATTCATGTGATGTTTGTCATTTGAGAATTCTCCTTAGCCTTGCATTTAAGGCGTCGTGGCAGGGCTGGCAAAGCCGAGACCAGAGTCAATGGCAAGGTTGGTGGCGCGACTGGCAGCAGGATGGCTCAGGCTGGCAATGGCAGCACCAGAGTCAGACGGACAACTGGGGACGCCAAGATGGGCAAGGAGGCTCCCAGGGTCAGAGTCACCAGCCGAGCCAGGCGGATGGAGCGAAGGGTCAGAAAGGCCACGATGGAAGCCAGCCTGGAAAAGGCAAAGGACCCAACCAGGGTCAGAACAAGGGTGGAAAAGGCAAGGGTCAGCCTCCTCAACAAGCAGCTGGACAAGCAGTGGCAGCCAAGGGTCAGGCTCAGGCTCCTCAACAAGCTGGCCAAGCAGCCAAGGGTCAGCCTCCTCAACAAGCTGGGCAAGCAGCCAAGGGTCAGCCTCCTCCACAGCAAGCAGCCAAGGGTCAGCCTCCACAGCAAGCTGGACAAGCAGGCAAGGGTCAGCTTCCTCCACAGCAAGCTCCTCCGGCCAAGGGTCAGCCTGGGAAAGCAGGCAAGGGGCAGACTGCCAAAGGCCAGAAAGGCAAAGCTTCCAAAGGATCCAAGAGTCAGAGTCAGCCCCCAGTGCCAAGGCGCGAGGGTTTGGGTTCCCGGCTCTTGTGGTTGTTCTGGTTGGTTCGTCCTGTGAGGCCGGAGCCCAGACGGGCGAGTGAGGAGGATTTGATGGAGGTTTTGCATCTCGGCTGAGGTTCGCATGCAGTGATTGTTTGTGAAGTTTTGGGCACTGGGCGACTGGCACTGACTGAGGACGGAGATGGCCGGTGACCTCTCGCTGTCAGAGTCAGCGTTTTCCTCCCTGCGGTCTTTGCTGCAGTACGGCCGCGATGGGCATATTCGCCTGACCCTCATCATGCTCCTCGGCACACACAGACATGTTCACGCACGCATCGGACACTCGCACAGACTGCAGCTCAGGATTCAGGCGGTGCAAGCCCATCACGTGAACCCTGGGCAGCGCTTGGACAGCTGGGTTTTGTCGAGAGTCAGTGTCGACAGACAGATTCTCGATTCCCGGCGTCCCAGCCGAAAGGGTGGCAAAGGAAAACCCTCGTAGCCACCTTAGTAGGCTCTGGGCGCCTTTTTTGGCTCGTGTTCGGAGCTGAAGCCACAGACAGTGTCAGTGTCATTGTCACTAGACACCTTAACCGATTCATTGTCATGTGACAAGCAAGAAGTAGGACCGGTAAAGCTTCAGCCTCCAAGCAGAGTGCAGCGAGCGCCGCCAAAATTCGTTTGCCAAGCCTGAGAGTCAGAGTCTCAGGCCAGGATAAGAGCCGCGGCAAGACGCGACACCTGAAAAGGGATCTTCGCTCTGCATTGCTGGTCCGTTGCAAGCCTTCAAGCCATGTGTCGTTTCGCAAACATTGAGATTGAGTCTTATCCCTTGGGCCTTGCAGGTGCTATGCCTGCTCAGAGTCAACGCCGGTGGCAGGAATCCAAGAGTGTAGATGCCCCGTTTGAAGCCAGGCTTTCCAGACTGACTCTTAGCCAGATTCGGTGACAGTGACACTGACTCAGACACTTCTATGTCAGAGTCACGTTGCCCCTGGGCATTGCAGGTGCTGTGCCTGGTCGGCTATCCCGTTGCAGGCCATGTGATTCTGTCAGATGATTTTTTATTGGCTGCTGCATGGGCTTCCCAGGAGCGCTGGTGGGTCAGAGTCAGGGCGGAAGGCCCGTTTGCTAGCCATGCTTCTGCATGCTTCGGCACGATGAAGGTTCTTGTCATTGTCCCCGGGCCCTGCAATTCGCAGGTGTTGTGGGTGGTCAGAGTCAAAGACGGTGGCTGGAGCCCAAGAGTGTCTAGACTAGATCAGGGCAGTGTCAGTTTGCAGCGCTGAGTTGATGTATGTAGTTCTTTGCAAAGCTGCTGTTGCTTGGTTCTTGGCTTGCCTCCGTGTTGCAGCGCTTCGGTCGGTTTCAAGCTGCTAAATCAGACACTGTTGCACCTTATCATTTCGCTCTCAGACTTCTATGTCCATGTCAGTCTAATGACAAGCTGAAGGATGTCAAGTGCTAGTGTCATCGTTCATCCAATAACAATGGCCGGCTGGAAATGCAAACTCTGTGCAGCTGCAACGTGGCGAAGACCCCCAGGAAACATATGTACTGGTTGCAAGTCAAGTCGCCGTGGTCGTCACAATCTTCATCCACGGGTACGATTCAAGGCCAAAGCGTCAATAACCGCTGCGGGAAAGGCCGACGCACAGCAGGTTGTTGCTCAGACGCCTCAGAAAGTCAGAGTCCAGAACACTGGCAGCGAGCCGAGGGAGGAGATCAAGAAGGCTTGCCCCAGCAGTGTCAAAGGCGGTGACAGTACAAGTGGCTGCACACCAGACGAAGAGAATTCCAGTCCTAGGGTCAAGCTCCTGAATAATCTGGAGTCGACAGTTCTTCTAGAGTTGAAGCATCTCTTTGGACCTGCTGCGGCGTACACAGTGGTAGCAACTGCAATGACGATACTGGACAAGTTTCAGACTCATGAAGCTCCCTTGCCTGCAGAGTCACACTCATGCTGTGCCAGAAGTCTAGCGTCATATGCATTCGCTTGTTCGGGAATTCCTGACGAGGACGTCAAGAGAAAGTCCTACTTAGCTTTCCTGACACAGCAACAGCTGCTCAGTGTCAATGAAATGAGGAAGAGGGAATGCTGGTGGGCCATGTTGTCACCATTTTGTGCCAAAAGCCAGATACCCTGAAAGGTGACAGTCAGTGTCACTTACTTGAGATGCCATTATAGTTGTGAGCGTAAAAGGATTCGATCATGGCAGTGGCGGATGTTTGCACTGCACTGCTGCACACAGGGCTTTTGCTTCGGTCAGACTCCCTTGTTGCTTGAAGTTCGTTGCAGCAGTCAGGTGCTCTCCGAGACCGACCTGCTCTTGTCAGGCTGGGCTCTGAGATTTGTTTTTATGTTCCAGTCTGGGCAGTGCAAGTGTTAGACGAGTCATGTGGGATTGCCAGGGTAGCACTGATGCAAAAAATTGCGTATTGCTGCTGTGCAAAGCCAGTCACACTTAAAATTTGCGTATTACTGCTGTGTAAAGTCAGTCACACAATGTGAACGGATGGCACTCCCGAGGCACCGCTTCAGGCATATCATTGGAGAAGGCCGCAGGGTTCATGCCTGTGTCTGTGTTTTAATTGTTGAGTCTGAAGTAATTAGACCAGCCAGGGTCTTGTGCGGCAGGAAACATGCGCCGCTACTTAGTCTGCACCCAAACTGCTAAGTACTTGCGGCAGGACCCATGCGCCGCTAGCCGCTAGATAGAGACGGGGTCATCTTGACTTGCTTCCTGATCAGTGGGTTGTACTATTGCCGGGCGATTTTCGGCAAGCAATACGCAGAGTAAGCCAGACACTACGGCTTGAGGTTCTTGAATAGGACAAAGCGATTAAAAATAAAACTTAGCGTTGGAGTCATGTGGGATTGCCAGGTTACCGCTGATCAGTCAACGGATGTCACCGTCCAGGCACTGACTCAAGCCGAACATTGGCATTGGAGAAGGTGGCAGGGTTCCAGGGTCTTGTGCGGCAGGACCCATGCGCCGCTAGTTACTAATGTACCTCATAAGTACTTGCGGCAGGATCCATGCGCCGCTAGACATAGACAGGGTCAAGTAGATGTGCTTTTCAGGGTCAGTGGGTTGGACTACTGTAATGGTTTCGAGGAAGATTAAAGACTCACTGCAGCTCTACTTCAGGATGAAGGGCTCTAATTCATGTGTTTCCCATCCCTTGCAACTTGGCCAGGCTGACGCTACGGCCACTCACTTCCGCCATAGCTTGTATCTCAGCATTGCCCTTCACCTTCAGCTTGGACAGTTTCTCTTGTGATACCTTGTTGATGCAGCGCAGGTTTTTAAGTCAAACCAGGGTCCCATCTGTAAGCTTTACTGAGTATATTCAGTTGGTGAGGTGCCTGAAGCTGCTCTGTCATGCAAGGCATATGATAAATAAAGGCAGCAATATCTTTTGAGACAGGGGAAAACTTGAGAGTCATGCAAGCACGAGTAGAACTAGGAGTGTCACGTGCTGTCAGCTTCTGCCATGCTGGCCTCTGCGGCTTGTTATGCCCAACCTGCGAGCGGGCAGAGCAAGAAGAGACCGCGAAGTGTCAGCAACAAGTCTGACAATCCACCAAGTGTCAGCAAGAGCTCTCAGCGTGGCACTTCTGGAACGAGAAGGAAGCCGATGTGTCGGCGTCAGACGGCTGTTCCGCCCAAGGCGAAGGCTGTCCCGAAGTCCCAGTCTGCGACCAGGGAGCCACTTTCTCGGCGTCCGATGGTTGTTCCGCCCAAGGCAAAGGCTGAGGCGAAGAGAAAAAATCAGCGTCAGCGGCGAGACAGGCCAGCAGGGTCAGACGCTGATCCCGAGGAGATGGTCGAACTGGATTGCTCCGCTCCTCCAACCACTACATGCGGACACACGAGTTTTACAGCGTCATGTCCGCAGTGCTGGTTTGGTCGTCACGGAACAGATTGGCAACAGAGTCATGGAAGCTTCCTTTCCAGACAAGGTGTCAATGGCCGCAGTGTCAGAATTGTTTGGTTGCAGCAGAAGCCAAGTGGCATGCCTGGACCATGGGCCCTGGGATGTGCGGTGTGCAACGCCTGGAGCAAGAAGCTGGAGGGCAACCCTCGATCAACTGCTTTACGACGCCTGAGTCAACGAGTGTCAACAAAGTGGGCGAGGTACGAAATCAACAAGCTAAGCCAAATGCAGGCGTCGGCAGTGCAGCTACACGCCAAGAGTCAGATTCACATTGCAGCTGTGAAAGCATTCGAATCTCCGGACTTGCCGTTGCAGGCACTCTTGCCGCGTAGCAAGTCTGATGCTGATTTGTTGAAGGGGGCTGTGCCCCAACCGCCAGATTGGCTGGCTGCCTTCAGAGCAGCTCAATCCCCAGTGTCATTTCTGAAGGCCGAAAAGCAATGTGAGACAGCTGCTTATGCCGCCATACGGTCAACTTACACCAAAAGGCGTCAGATGAAGCAGATGATTTCCGTGATGACCGAGGTCACACGTCAGAAGAAGCGCGCCGCCATCCTGAATGCTGCTCATATTAGCATTGCCATCGACGACCGTTCGCCTTATCGAGTGGTGCGTTTTCGCACAGTATGTCTTCCCGGCAAGGCCCGGGCTGACGAGTCGGAGTCACCGTCAGAGTCAGCTTCACCACTGGTACATGAGGGCATCCTTGCGGTTCTCAATGGGTGCTTGCCGGTCGACAACATGGAGCAGCTCGATGATGACTACTCAGCATCTCAGCATAAACCTTCTCAGTCATGTGGTGGGTGGTTCTTTACTTGAAGGGTTATTTTATGTCTGAGTTGAAGCTAATAGACTCTCAATAGGATACAAGGTCCAGAGTTAAGCTTGCTTTTTCCAGCAACCATCAGTCAGTGTCAAGGAAAAGATTGCAGAGTCAATCAAAACCGCCATCGAGCGGTTGGCGACCCCGTTAGGGTCAGAGTCAGACTCTGACCGCGACGTCAGAGTCATCCAGTCCTTCTACGACAAAGTCACGTCAGTGTCAACTGACGGCGCAAAATCGATGAGAAAATGTACTCTCATCTGTGAGAGTCAAGTTTTCAAGAACTTGCGGTTCGCCCTGCCGGATCGGGCGCATCAGATTCGCAGAGCGTCAATACCGCTGACGCTGGAGAAGCGGTTCCGAAGCTTTTGGGACAACGTGTTCTCCAAGCGTCACGCTCTCGTTCCTGACCTGCAAAACTCAGCGCAGTGGCAGATGAGGTTTCAGACTATGGAGAACGAGCTCAAGAGTCAGAGTCAGAATGATGAACTGCCTGGAGGGCTGAAGAAGGCCTTGCGGACTTTGAGTTTCGCAAAACAGCGGTTCGACTCTTGCTCGCTGCCAGCGTCAAAGTTCGTCCTGCTGCTTCAGCCTTTCGCTCTTTTGTTGGCGCACCAAGCGTCAGACCAGCGCCTGGATGCGCAGACCCGCTGGCGGTCCCAACAGATGCTGCGGCTGATGGACGCTGAACTGGTTCTGGTTGCAGGCTTGAGCGCTGACTTTTCTGGCGAAGTGTTAAAGTTTGTTCGGCAGCACGATATCCGGTCCCACGACATAAGCCGAACATTGCAGGAGAGGGACCAGTTTCTGCACAGACTGGACACACTGTTCATCCAGGGTCATATTCTGGACGAAGACACAGAGTCATTTGCCCACATGGCATGTCGGAATGCAATTTCCGCTGGCCCCATACAGTTTGGAGACAACATGCATGACCTTTGGGGGCCAATGGGCAAGCAGAAGTGTCAGGAGGTCATGACATCTATACAGGCCGTCACAGACAGTTGCAAAAGCCGTGTCATGGCCGACATGAGTGTCAATGACCCTGAAATGGCCTTCGCAGTTTTCAACCTGGAAGGTTGGCTTCATGGCAAGGCTGCAAATCCGGAATACCGCCAGCGTCATTTCAAGATGCTGAGGAGGCTCTGCCGTGTTCTGAAGCTGCCCTACGAGCCAACAGCGCTAGAGTTCGAGGGTGTGCTTGCAGAGCTTCTGGACGACACTGACAGTGTCAACCAGTCTGTTGCGAGTGCAGACAACAGGCCCATCTGGGCCAGGGTCCTTGGAGCTGGCAAGCCGCTACGTCAGTGTAACCAAGAGCTTGAGCACCTGCCCAAGCTGGTGGCTTTCTACATGAGTATTTTGGACGGCGAATGCACCCTGCTGCATATTAATTACTGACTTCAAGTTGTGATTCCATCGTGTCAGACAATACAGAGAGTCCTAATTTCACTTTTCATAGTTAGGTAGCTAAACTAATAGTTAGTAAAGGCAAACCCCGACGGCGGTTTTTTGTTTGCCTCTCGAGTGGCTAGGTGGCGTTGAGCGGGACCTTGCAAGCTTGTGCAAGACGCTCGAGCAGCATCAGGGTCCCACAGACGCAGAAGCCCTGACAGCGTCAGAGTTGTTGGAACTGCGCTTGGATGGACCGAAGACAGAGTCGGATTTATTTGTTCAAGTGTCAATGCCGGCATCAAGCAGCGGTCCACTTGCTGTAGCTGCTGCTGGCAGCCTCGAGTTCACGGACTACAGCCGGGCGTGTGCCCAACTTTGGGTTGATTCGTTTGGACGCCGTTTTGCCCTCTACAAGAACCTTTCCCTGCAGATAGCACTGGGAGTCTTTAAAATTTGAATTGAATCAACTGACTTCATGAATGACATATACACTGCTTTATATCTCTGGCCCCGCTAGATTCCCAGGACCAGAGCAGACGTCGGTGTCAAGCGAGGCCCAAGAGAGGGCACTTTTGCTGCCGTCCTCGAGCGTCAGAGACATAGCATCAAGCAACTGGTGGACGCAGGTGTAGGAGCCAGAGCAAGGACCTTTCTTGGGTTTGACAGGAACCTTCGAGAGTCAGAAACTTTTTGTTGTTAGTAATGCATCAGTTGAGGTCGAGGTGGCGTCAGTATTAACATATGATCCCAATAAGCATGATGTGCCCAACTGAGGAAGTCCTTTGTCCGCCCAGAGCGTCAGAGGCTGTCCAACAACCCAGCTTGGAATGCAAACTTGGACAAGTTCCACAAAACAACACAGCAGAGAGCTGAGCAGAGTCAGGCGAAGAGGATGCGATTTTTTCACGGGCAGCCAGTGAGCAAGCCCACACTGAGAAAGGGACGGGTGTTCCAGAAGAGTCATACTTCGGGTTCGAAGCTGACAGAGTCAAGCGTCGTTCTGGATCTTGCTAAGAGAACTCCGAAGACAAGCTGCTGGGGCACCATGAACAGACCGGCGAATCCAGACAGTGTCAGTTACAAGGAGATCCGCAAAGCGCATGTTGTCATTGTGGATTCTGTTTCTGATGTTGAGCGTCTCCAAGCTGGGTTTCTTGTTCAAATGATTGCAAGCTTTCGGTTGTCTTGAAACCATTAGTGGCATCCTGGACGAGCAGCTAGTGTCAATTCATGATTGTCCTGTTTCAGGCAGGGCATGGTGCACCTCTACATCACTGTGGTGGCACTTGGCCTTGGTCTTGTCACTTCTGAAGATTGGGATCGGGTGGAAACCCGAGAGTCAAGAATCCGATACTACGAACCTTCGTGCAGCAGCGTCACTGCCAAGATTTACATTCATGACTCCTTCGATGACGAGTTTCCCAGCACAGCCAAGCTTCTGCGGCATCACTGCTCAAACGGAGAAAACTCCTGGACCAGTGTCAGCCGAAGGAAGGATGCTGAACACGTTGTGGATAGTCTACAGTCACTGTACAAAATTTCTGGTGCATGTGAGAAGGCTGTCCAAGAGAAATGCGCCAGGGACCAGGCGTGGCCAAGGGTCAGGATGGCACTTTGGCGTTGGTGTGCCGCTGTTGAAGAAGCCACCCCGGTCTGGCAGACAAAGTGCAGATTGATTGATTCAGAGTCATTGTCACTACTAGTTTTAGTGCCATTGAAAGTTACTAGTCTGAAGTTCGCATATATGAGTCTCACACTTCTTAACATTTGCAAAATGTAACATGACTGTCAATGTTTTGCTTTGTCTGCCGGCACAGTGTCAGCCAAACCCAAGCAGGCTGCACATGCGCGAAAAAAATCGACCTTGTGCTGCATGGTGCGTTCCGTGTGCAGTGCCATGTGGTGTAGTCTGTCAATGTCAATCATATCAATGAGACTTGAATCCCAGAGCATTGCTCTTCTTGTCCCAGGTTGGAAGCATCTGCCTTTGGAATGTGCTAGCCTCAGATTATGAAGTTCTCAGGGCGTGTGTGGATGTTTGCTGCCAGCTTGCTTAGATCTTAGTGACAATGACAAGATCAAGCTATCTGCTGCTTATTTCAGACTGTGCCAGAGTCAGTGAGATTTTCAGGCTGCAGTGTATAGGAATATCTGTTCTTGAGGCCACAGAGCCTCGGCAGCCCAGAGTCAAGCTGCAACCTCAGGGGGGCTGTGCAGCTGACTGAGCAATAGTGTGAGTGAGTCTCTTAGCTCAACACTTCGACTGCTGAGTGTGAGGCCTGGCCTAGTAGAGACCTCTGCCCCTAGTGCTGCTCCGGCGTGTCAGTGTCCTTTAGTAACAGTTTTTGCTTAGCTCATGCTGCAGAGAGAGAGGTCCTGCATGAGTCACAGTCCTTTGAGCAGAGGCTACTGCAGCAGGGGCTGCTGCAGCAGGGGCTGCTGCAGCGACTGCTATGGCCGGGGGCTGAGGACAGTTGCAGTAGCGGGATTTCTCAAGCTTAGCCTTCAAGGTTTGCTGGCAGGTATTGGGTGACCTGGTTGGGGTAGGCCAATACCTCGCCGCCTTTTGAAAGGCGGCGGGGTATTGGCCTACCCCAGAGAGGTATTGCATTACGTTGTGGTTTCGGCTTCAGTCTTGGAGGTATTGGAACATAGGACTGGTAGCGTCAATACCTCGCCGCCTTTTGAAAGGCGGCGGGGTATTGGAGTAGTGTGCCATGGGCAAGAAGCCTGACAACAGTGTCAGTGTCAGGCAGCCGAAGCAGAAGGCTGAGGTGACAGTCGCAGTGGAGACTACTCAGCCAGCAGAGTCAAGAGTGCCAGAGTCACTCAGTGTCCCCACTCAGAAGATTGTGCCCACAGTGTCAGACTCGGCAGCAAGTGCGCTGCTTGCTGCAGATCCACCAGAGGTTCCAACTCTTCCGGAGAAGAATGAGCAGGCCAAGAGGATGTCTGCACTTAGTGTCATGCAGCAAGTCACAAAGTATGTTTCTCGGTCTTGCTTTAAAGTCGACTTGTGATTACTTTCCTTTAGCATCTGAGCCAGCTGGAGACATGGACATGTTTATACTGTTTGCACAGTCAAGGTTCACCATCGGTGGGCTGCGGAGTGTGGCCTTCCGCCCGGACAGAAGCTCAAGGAGCTGGCGCCGCTTTCCATCGAGAAAAACGCAGCCGTGCAGACAAACTTCCGAGAGTCATGGAGCCCGTCCTCCTGTCAAGTGTCAATGGAGCGACGAGAAATGTACGAAGCTGGAGGGTCACTCTTTTGGCTTGATGGTTTGGTGACACTTGCTGGCTGGCAGGATGAGCCTGTCTTGGTGGAAGCTCCGTCCATGTGGGACATTCTGGAGGCCGAAGAGATCTTGGTTCCACCGAGTCCCAACCAACTGTACTTTGGCGATCCCTTTTTGGCTTATGTGCAGAACTATGGAAACGGAGTCAACTTCCCAGTCGGGATGAGGCTCATGCGGGGCATCATTCCGCTTTTTGCCTGGTATCTCGCTGCGTGCAGAGTCATCCTAAGCCCTCTGAGCCAGGCGCGAACAGAGAGGTTGACGGCGCTGCACACCATGGCACTGACAGTGTCAATCAGAGCCTACCACTATGTCAGAAACAACAACAGCACCATCGTCCTGCGATCCTTGCAAAACTCCGAGAAGAGCAAGCTCACTGCTCCTGGTGACTCGTTTCAGATGTTCACGAAGAAGTTGGGTCAGATCATGGAGAGTGCCCCCAAAGAAGAGTCAGAGTCACAGCCCAAGTTGCTCAAGTTCCTGGTGGACAGGAACATTCGCTTCAATGGCAGCCTTGTGAACCGCACACTTCTTCAAGCCGCCTCGAACTTCTACAAGCTGCTGACTCCAGAGATAGAGTCAACGCTGGACGCAATTCAGCGCGAATTTGGGCGTCCTGTCTGGTCTGCCGGATACAACAAGATAATGCGTCTGTGTCAAATGGCAGCCAAAATGGCCGGTGATTGGCCCAAGGACACTGCAGTGTCAGACTTGGTTCACTTCGCCCTGGACTGCTGCTTGATGCAGCTTCGCCGCAGACAGTGCGGACCTGACTTCTTCAAAATGGAGACCTTGGTTACGGAGAAATCCGGCTGGGTGCCTATCACCTGCTTGAAGTGCTACCTCATCATGCACCTGATGTCAGTGTCAAAGGCAGCTGCCGAGAAAGAGTCTGAGTCAACGACAAGTGCTACGCGGCTGCCCAAGCAAGACCTGTACAAGGCCATGCTGAAGGTGGCTTCTCCGTCATCTTATGACGAGAATGTCCCCTTGCCAGAGTCGGACGAGGCGGTTGAGGATGACGGCGACATCCATTGCAATGCGACAGAGTCAATGGAAGGTGCCGAGAACAGCAACGAGCAAGCTTGCGCAGATGCACTGGCAAAGGTCACAGAGAAGTTGTCCAAGGCGGGCAGAGCGTGTGTGGAGCTCATCAGGGACTTCATGGAGGGCAAGCATGAGGACGCCCTCGCGAAGTTCACGAGTGTCAAGGATCCAATTTTCACCTTGATGGAAGCGTCAGACAAGCAGCCATTGGGCAAAGCCTTCCGGGCGGCAGTTTCCACCATGGTTGCTACGGCTTTCACGACAGAGTCATCTGACGCCCCTATGAGCTTTTGGGAGCTCGCACGCAAAATGTCGGATCCAGAACAGCCCGACGAGTCTCAGAAAGTCCAGCGTCAAAAGGTTTGGGTTCAGGCACAGCAGCTGCGCAAAAAAAACACGCAGCTGGCGCTCTGGAAATGCGGCAGCGTGGACTCTTTGAAGAGTCTTGTGGAAAAGTCGCTTTGGAAACAGTGTCAAGGCAAGCTGAATGAAACCCACAGGGTCATCTTCTTCTCGTCCGACTTGCTGGATGAAGGCAAGGGCACCTGGCAAAAGCCTATGGCAGTCCAGCCGGACTCGGCAAACCCGATCATGAAGTTCCTCACGGACTACACTTGGAAGGAGCACGACATGATCGTGCTCTTTGATGGTGGCTGCCAGGACAACAGAGACTACATCCGCCAGAGTGTCAAAGAAAAGAATATGAACGAGTTTGTGCTCTTGTACTCACGCAGAAGCAGAATGAGCAGAAGTCGGAAGGTGTTCTGCGCCAGCCAACGTCTGGAGCATGGCATGATCAAGACTTTCGTCCCCAGGGTCAGAGTCAATGTCAAGGAGCGGAATGACCAGTATGCCATCCCGACGGGGGACAAGAAGGACGTCGCCACGACGCACGACCTGAGCATGGTCGGGTTGCCGAGTCTTGAGAGGCGCCCCAAGATCAGCATCAGCGAGAAGGCCAAGATATGGGGTGGCGCTGACCTTCTCGACGAGCCGCCCAGATACCGGCTTGAGTCCGTCCCGATCTTCTGGGCAGAGTCAAAGCCCTGGGACTGTTGGGACACGTTGCTGGCTTGCTTGGACGCCGGCGCCGTCCTCGACTTGACCCCAGGGTCAGGGTTACTTGCCAGCGTGTGCATGGCTGCTGGCATAACATATACCGGCATTACCAGGTCGGACGTCCATAACAGTTGGCTCGCCAACGTGTTGGACCACGAGTGCCTCCGCCTGGTTGCCGACTCTGACAGTGTCATGCTGCTTGATCTGCTTTAGTCGGGCTTTGCAGTCAGTCTTAAGTCATTATTAATCAGACCATTCTAGTACTAGATAGTCTGAATAGAATGGTCACGGTCCGTTTCCTGAGCCGTGTCTGAGTCAAGTTTCCTTCAGCTTCAAACAAACAGCGGATCCAGGTACCAGGAAGACTTGTCGGAGTCAGTGAACAAGCTGTTCGTGGAGGTCTTGAAGGAGCTTAATGATGCCGAGCTGCAAGAGTCAGATGAGGACATGGATGATGAGCCACTGGAAGCAGCCTAGTTTTGCCTTCACAGCTGGGATTGGTGTCAGTGTTACAACCATTTGTTGAAGCATGTCCTGGCCTGTCTCGAGGTGTTTGCAACAAAATCATTGCTTTTGGCACAAATTCTGGCTGTGAAGTTTTGTCTGGCAGGGCGCTTCAGCCACAGCAGCCCGCGGAAGCATGTGTCAAGACGCCGGAGTCAGTACAGCAGAAACATGTCTGTTAGCAACAGATGATTGTGCCAGAGGTCTAGCTGCTAGTCGTCATATTTGTATGTCTTGCACATTGTGTTGAAAGCAATTGGACGCAGGCCTGTAGCTGGTGCAGATTCGAATATATTTAATATTCTGATTCTACAGTAAGGTTGATTAAATTGCAGTACGGCTCCCATCCGCCGATGCCATAGTGTCAAAGGCCAGCGGAATTTCAGAGGCCACGGCATGATCAGCGGACTAAGCGGCCCCAGCCCCAGCCCCTTTGTGCATAGTGGCCAGAGTGCTAGGCCATTGATACGAGTTGTGCTAAAAAGCCACGTACTAACAACCTCGGGTCGACTTTGTCCCAATGCCAGAGCCACAGTCAGTGTCAATCTTCTCACGGCGGGCATGCGCGTTGCTGCTGCCGGACAGATGCAGAAAAGTGGCGCTTCGTTCCTAGCTTTCGCTCAGATTGCCGTTCATGCTGCCACTGCACACGCATATGTCAAACGTAACTGTAGCATCCTTGAGCAATTTCTTCTCACTCTGAGGTTTTCTTCTGCCAAAGGCCCATGTCTTGCCTACGAGAGAGCCGGGGGCCCAGCCGCCAAGACCTGCCGAAGTGTCAGAGTCGTGAGTGCCTGTCAGCTTAGTGACCCTGAGCACACTTGCGACAGACTAACTAACATATGGGGTGGGAGTCACTGTTGTGTGCAGCCGTGGCCGCCGCAGGAAATAGTACCGCTGTAACAGTATAACTGCCGCTTCACTTGGAGTCTATTCGCATGTACAGCATGTAGCACTTGTGCGACAGTGGAAAGTAAATTAAATCCACTAGGAATGTTTGGTACTCAGCCTGCCATGCCTGAACCTGCGTTTGGTGTCAGAGAGGGCTGGGCACAGAACCTCTTCGGCAGAGTCAGCCAAGCGCGACAAGAATGGCTTCATGAGAACAGTGTCAAAAGTACTCCGCTTTCCATACCACTCCTCCGGATTGGAACAGATTGTGCTGGTGCAGAGTCACCTATTTTTGCTCTGAGGGCTCTTGAAATAAAGCACCGGCACGTGTTCTCGTGTGAGAAAGCTGTCCATGCCCGGAAGTGGATCGAGAGCCAGTGTCAGCCCGAGCTGCTGCTGCATGACATGTTGGACAGATGTCACGAAGACCTCCCGGACCTGGATGGTTACTACTGCGGCTTCCCATGTACCCCTTGGTCACTGCTGCACGGTAATAGTCATTTCTGGAAGGATCCAGCAGTGGAACCTTACAAGGCCAGGTGTGTCAGTGCAAATCTTCAGTTCAGATTGGTTCCAAGTGTAGGTGTTTCTTTATTGAATTACTAGGATCTAAGAGCGGCCTAAGCACCTACAGTCCTTTGTGGAAGGGTGGGCTGCCTGTGCCAGGCAATGCTGGACACCATCAAGGTCAAAAAGCCCGCTTTCTGTGTCCTGGAGAACGTCACGGGTCTCATGGGATTCCGCGAGGACGTTAGCAAGACGATGAGAGTCAAGTTGGAAGAGCAGTATGTGGTCTACCACATGAAACTGGACCCAAGAGACCAGGGTCACTGTGTTCGCCGACCTAGAGTGTACTTCATTGTATTGCGGAAGGATGTGTTGCTGTGTGACCCGGCTAAGCTTGCCAGCTTGGCACAGCATATCCTGCAGAGTGTCAAGCAAGACGGGCAGAGCGTCAAAGTTCAGCAGTTCATGCTTGCAGACACACACCCACTTGTGGTGGAGAGTCAACTTCAGCAGGATGCCAAAGTCAAGCGCAAACCAAAGCCAATCCCCAAGGACAAGGGCTTCGAGGCCAAGTGGTACAACAGGCATGCCGCTCTTTGGGCAAGCCTTGGTCGGAGATGCAGTGACTGCCCAGTCCCAGGGTCAAGGTTGAAAAACATGGGATCCCGGCGAGAGGATGCATTGAAGATAGCATGGCAGCAGCATCGGCGCCTGGACATGGTGGTTGACTTGAGTCAAAATGCAGGGCGGATGCCTGTCGCATTCCAAGGAGAGTGTCCAACGTTGACACCAGGAGGGCATGTTTTTGTCCTCTCTGCTCAACGTGCACTCCTTCCGGAAGAAAAGCTCCTGATCAATGGATTCCCAGCGTCAAGCTTCATGGGCAAGTGCCAGGCGGAGCTGCGTCCGAGGGAATTGTCGTCGTTGGCAGGCAACACCATGCATGTCGAGGTTGTGGCTGCAGTGTCACTTATAGCCTTATCGCTGATTGACCTGCGTGCGCTGGGCAAGAGTGGGCCCATATACACTGGCGCACAAGGGTCATGGATCTTCATGGACCTGGACGGGTCAGAAATGCAGAAGCTCCAGTCTGCGAAAAAGCCATCTCCTCAGCGATGCTCGTTGTCACCGGCCCCCACATGCAGAGTGAATCGTAAGTCCATATGTTCTGTGAATATGAAGCGTTCCAGCTTGGCCCGCAAAATGCAGGCAAACAAAAGCGATCTCAGAGTCAAGAAGACAGCTGCGAAACCGAAGCAAACACGTAGAACTTCAGCGTCGGAGGGGGCAAGCTCCTTTGGCGGCCCTAATTCGAAGCCCAAAAGGCAGATGACTGCACGAGTTAGCGGCGGATACCTGCCTCCCAACGGATTGCAAAGTATTTACAACAAGGTGCTGCTCTAGTTAGCCAGTCACTCAGTGCACAGAAGAGTCAATCTTAAATTAGCATAGTTCCAAAATTCAGTTCGCGTCAGTGTTAGAGAGACGCTCGCACTAGGCCCGCCTGCACAGCAGAAAAGGCCAGATCCTGTCATCATTGCAATATCTGCACTGTGTACTCTTCGACATCAGAAGTTTGCACCTGCCAAGTGATGATGATGTCATTCAGACTTGTATTCTGCTGTCCTGAGGTCAATGTTGGCGCCAGATTCGCAGCAGGCAGGCTTCTGAGGAAGAGTTAGATATTTCGCTCTGCGTGTGAGCTTTGGAAAGCCGTTCTGGATTCAGGCTACCACAGTGCTTTCGGAGAGACGTAGGTTGCAGATGCGTAGCAGGCATGCTTCTCAGCAAGTCCCTGACGGTTAGTCATTGTCACGCACGAAGCCACTCGGCCGTGTCGCAGGTCAAACAGCCGGCTGTCTCCGCCCATTCGCAGTCGGCAGGCTTCTCAGTCTCGGATTGTCTGTCATTGTTTGGGCAGTCCCAGCGTAGACTTCTAATTGCAACTTTTAGCCAGATGCGTTTTTATTATTCAGAGCTTCGCATGAACAGATCAGCGATCATGCGAACTGGCATCGGTATGACCCTGGCTAGAATTTGCTTAGGATTCAATTAGCTTGTTTCATCATGCACTTTGGTTGGCCCTCACAAGTGACCTGGCTGGGTTATTGCTTAATAATAAATACACAGGAGTGTCACTACTAGATACAAACTTATATAGATTTAGATTTAGGATGCTGGATCCTGAGTTGGGTGCAGACTTGGACATGACAGGTGTTTTCTTATACCGATTGGCTATGACACAGGCACTTATGAACATGCGCACGACACACAAAATGATGGGTGGATACAGCTTGCTGCAATTCGAGTACTGTTGCAAGTGGTTCTTACTGGTCCACAGAATGATGGGTGCGAATTGGGTGCGAATTGGCTTGCGCTACAAAATCCACACATTCCTGGTCCACAGAATGATGGGTGCGAATTGGGTGCGAATTGGCTTGCGCTACAAAATCCACACATTCCTAATTGGGTGCAAAATTGGATCTGTTAAGAGTTTGAAAGGCTGGGTGCGATTTGGGTGCGGATTGGCCCTGGCTACACTATGAAACATCACGTAGTGTCACATGTGCTGTTTCGCCCACAGAATACTGGTTCCGGCTAGAGAATCAACCGGTCCTTACCACTGGATATGCTGGGTGCGAATTGGGTGCGAATTGGCTTGCGCTACAAAATCCACACATTCCTGGTCCACAGAATGATGGGTGCGAATTGGCTTTCGCTACAAAATCCACACATTCCTAAGAGTTTGAAAGGCTGGGTGCGATTTGGGTGCGGATTGGCCCTGGCTACACTACGAAACATCACGTAGTGTCACATGTGCTGTTTCGCCCACAGAATACTGGTTCCGGCTAGAGAATCAACCGGTCCTTACCACTGGATGTGCTGGGTGCGAATTGGGTGCGAATTGGCTTGCGCTACAAAATCCACACATTCCTGGTCCACAGAATGATGGGTGCGAATTGGGTGCGAATTGGCCTGCGCTACAAAATCCACACATTCCTAATTGGCTGCAAAATTGGATCTGTTAAGAGTTTGAAAGGCTGGGTGCGATTTGGGTGCGGATTGGCCCTGGCTACACTATGAAACATCACGTAGTGTCACATGTGCTGTTTCGCCCACAGAATACTGGTTCCGGCTAGAGAATCAACCGGTCCTTACCACTGGATATGCTGGGTGCGAATTTGGTGCGAATTGGCTGGCGCTACAAAATCCACACATTCCTGGTCCACAGAATCATGGGTGCGAATTGGGTGCGAATTGGCTTGCGCTACAAAATCCACACATTCCTGGTCCACAGAATGATGGGTGCGAATTGGGTGCGAATTGGCTTGCGCTACAAAATCCACACATTCCTAATTGGGTGCAAATTTGGATCTGTTATAAGAGTTTGAAAGGCTGGGTACGATTTGGGTGCGGATTGGCCCTGGCTACACTATGAAACATCACGTAGTGTCACATGTGCTGTTTCGCCCACAGAATACTGGTTCCGGCTAGAGAATCAACCGGTCCTTACCACTGGATATGCTGGGTGCGAATTGGGTGCGAATTGGCTTGCGCTACAAAATCCACACATTCCTGGTCCACAGAATGATGGGTGCGAATTGGGTGCGAATTGGCTTGCGCTACAAAATCCACACATTCCTAATTGGGTGCAAAATTGGATCTGTTAAGAGTTTGAAAGGCTGGGTGCGATTTGGGTGCGGATTGGCCCTGGCTACACTGTAGTGTCACATGTGCTGTTTCGCCCACAGAATACTGGTTCCGGCTAGAGAATCAACCGGTCCTTACCACTGTGGATATGCTGGGTGCGAATTGGCTTGCGCTACAAAATCCACACATTCTGTCCACAGAATCATGGGTGCGAATTGGGTGCGAATTGGCTTGCGCTACAAAATCCACACATTCCTGGTCCACAGAATCATGGGTGCGAATTGGGTGCGAATTGGCTTGCGCTACAAAATCCACACATTCCTAATTGGGTGCAAATTTGGATCTGTTAAGAGTTTGAAAGGCTGGGTACGATTTGGGTGCGGATTGGCCCTGGCTACACTATGAAACATCACGTAGTGTCACATGTGCTGTTTCGCCCACAGAATACTGGTTCCGGCTAGAGAATCAACCGGTCCTTACCACTGGATATGCTGGGTGCGAATTGGGTGCGAATTGGCTGGCGCTACAAAATCCACACATTCCTGGTCCACAGAATCATGGGTGCGAATTGGGTGCGAATTGGCTTGCGCTACAAAATCCACACATTCCTGGTCCACAGAATCATGGGTGCGAATTGGGTGCGAATTGGCTTGCGCTACAAAATCCACACATTCCTAATTGGGTGCAAAATTGGATCTGGTTTGAAAGACTGGGTGCGATTTGGGTGCGGATTGGCCCTGGCTACACCATGAAACATCACGTAGTGTCACATGTGCTGTTTCGCCCACAGAATACTGGTTCCGGCTAGAGAATCAACCGCTCCTTACCACTGGATATGCTGGGTGCGAATTGGCTTGGGCTACAAAATCCACACATTCCTGGTCCACAGAATGATGGGTGCGAATTGGGTGCGAATTGGCTTGCGCTACAAAATCCACACATTCCTAGTTGGGTGCAAAATTGGATCTGTTAAGAGTTTGAAAGGCTGGGTGCGATTTGGGTGCGGATTGGCCCTGGCTACACTATGAAACATCACGTAGTGTCACATGTGCTGTTTCGCCCACAGAATACTGGTTCCGGCTAGAGAATCAACCGGTCCTTACCACTGGATATGCTGGGTGCGAATTGGCTTGCGCTATACAAAATCCACACATTCCTGGTCCACAGAATGATGGGTGCGAATTGGGTGCGAATTGGCTTGCGCTACAAAATCCACACATTCCTGGTCCACAGAATGATGGGTGCGAATTGGGTGCGAATTGGCTTGGGCTACAAAATCCGCACATTCCTAATTGGGTGCAAAAGATCTGTTAAGAGTTTGAAAGGCTGGGTGCGATTTGGGTGCGGATTGGCCCTGGCTACACCATGAAACATCACGTAGTGTCACATGTGCTGTTTCGCCCACAGAATACTGGTTCCGGCTAGAGAATCAACCGGTCCTTACCACTGGATATGCTGGGTGCGAATTGGCTTGCGCTACAAAATCCACACATTCCTGGTCCACAGAATGATGGGTGCGAATTGGGTGCGAATTGGCTTGCGCTACAAAATCCACACATTCCTAATTGGGTGCAAAATTGGATCTGTTAAGAGTTTGAAAGGCTGGGTGCGATTTGGGTGCGGATTGGCCCTGGCTACACTATGAAACATCACGTAGTGTCACATGTGCTGTTTCGCGCACAGACTATTTCTGGTTCCGGCTAGAGAATCAACCGGTCCTTACCACTGGATATGCTGGGTGCGAATTGGGTGCGAATTGGCTTGCGCTACAAAATCCACACATTCTTAATTGGGTGCAAAATCGAAGCTGTTAAGAGTTTGAAAGGCTGGGTGTGATTTGGGTGCGAATTGGCATTCCACATATTCCTTTTCTGCCGTGTCATATGTGTTGTCAAGAGAGCCCTGGGTTGTATTACTGTGTGCAAAATTGGATCTGTTAAGACTTTGAAATGCTGGGTGCGATTTGGGTGCGGATTGGCCCTGGCTACATTCTGAGACATCAGGTAGTGTCACAAGTGCTGTTTCGCCCACAGAATGCCGGTTCTGGCTAGAGAATCAACAATGGATATGCTGGGTGCGAATTGGCATTGGCTGCAATAATACAAGCATAACTGTGTGCACCGACTTGGCAACTCGAACTTCAGTTCAACACCTGTGACACTGCATCAGCACGGAATATATGTGGCAATGGCCCATCCGCACTTGCGAAACTCAAATTTGAAGCGGTACGAATACCCAGCACATCTGCGGCCAACAACACCACATGTGCCCCTGTTCATGAGATTTTCTAGCCAGAGCCAATTCCCTTCCACTTTGCACCCAGCATTTCGTGGCCGAACGTGCGGTGACATACGACACTACATGATGTTTCCTAATGCAGGCCAATTCGCACCCAATTCGCACCCAGCACTTCTGTGGGTCTCGAAACAGAGAGAACAGATTTAATGTTGCACCCAATACACAACCCCGCACCCTTATTTTTCCTACCAAAAAAATGTGACCCGGCGTAAAAAGTGTGCAAAATGTGTGGAAAAATCAAACTAGCTGCAACTAGCTACTGATGCTTAAACCAAGTTTGCAAGCTTTCTATAGTTCTTACCAGGCAGTCAGCAACATTTCAGATCATTCCACTTCTGATTTTTTGCATCCAGTAACTTGATCCGAAGGCATTCCTTTGAAATGTGGGTCGTGCAGTAATTTGGACCGAGGTCGTGAGCTGCTGCTGCAGGGTGAGAGGTCCCAGCCGGCATGGTTGATACCTGATGCAAGGGTCTGGGTTATGCAGAGCAGAGTCCATCAATCATGATTCCAATGTCGATTGCGCTAGCAATTTCGGCTTTGCCATCGCATTTGCAGCTCCCAGTGTCATAGACCATCTTGGCGAGATGTCCTTCTACGTTTGCTATCCTGCAGCGACTTCCGGGTCAGCGTCAGTGGACGCACAGAAGTTCTGCTTCAAGAGCGGGACAAAGTTGCGCAACAAGGAGTTGGATGCCTTCTTTGACTCCAGGCAGCAGGCATGCATTTCTGTGAATTGCCATAGTGTCAATTTTGTGACAGTCACTATATAGTCTTTGAACCAACACCTGAATCTTCCATAATGAAGTAACAGTAGCATTAGCCAAGTGTTGATTTCCAGCAGCGTCAGCTACTTCAGGAGAACACTCACGATTCTGCCCGGAAGCTTGGGATGTCATTGTCAATGGAAGGTGAGGCACGGGTAGTGCTGAACAGTGTCAGTGCCAAACGGATGGACTCCCTCCGCGGCTTGAAAGACGTTGTCAGGGTCACCCTCTCACAGGAAGCTCAGCGTCTTTTCAGTAAGGGTCAACTGATTCCTGACGGCCCGTACGGCATCCTCACCGATGGAACCCTGCAGGTGCAGGATAGCATCTTGACTTGAAGTAACTTGTGAAATAAACATCCTGACAATGATGCTCATGCTGTCAGAGTCAGAGTCTTCAAGTCCAGTGAGTCCAGTTGAATAATAATAATAATAATAATAATAATAATAATAAGGCTTAAGAATTTACACGTTTCGTCTTGGCTAAGGCAGCTGGTCGGAAGTCAGCGTCAAGAAAAATGCGAGGCTTGAGTTTAACAAGGCAGAAGAGTGGTCCGTCGGGCCTAGTGGGTCAACCAATGCGGCTGGTGTTGAGACTAGCCTTCCTGCTGTGGCGTTCAACTACTTTGTGGTCACTGTGGGCAGAGTCACAAGCATGGAGGAGATGACAGCAGCAGCGCAAGGGTCAGGGCAAGAGGACCAGTACTTGGATTTGTTCGACTTCTTGCGGATGAATACGAAGACGGCGGACCAGCGAAGCAGACGCCACGGTGGCGTCGCCGTCATATTGTTCGACAGTGCAGCTCATGCAGCGTCAGCAACACACTTGTTCATGAAAGGATGCATGCCCGTCGTCAACTTGTTGAACCTCCAGTTCAACATGCAAGACGCTGCACTGGTTGCTTCAGTGTCAGTGGTTCCTTGCACCAGTTGCATGCTTCCCTACAGCATCCTCCACGGCGAACCGTACAGTGTCAACGAGATCTTGAAGAAGGCCCAGGTTACTGGAATGACGGGCAGCTTGTCCGTTGTGGGAGAGTCAGACTTCGTCGACCTGCGTCGCCTTCGTGCCGAGTCCGTGCAGAACAGGCCTTGCGTGTTCCAGGGTCCAATAATAGTGTCATTCAGGCTTGAGTCCATATCTTTAACTAAATAAGAAAACCAGGAGACCAGATCTTGTTATTAAGTCCCACTCACTTACTGATTTCTGCCTGTCCACGCAGGAAGCGTCAGTACATTCAAATGCTGAAGAACGAGATTGCCGACGAGAGTCAAGGTTTGTCCGGCGAGCCAGGCCCAACGACAGCTGAGAATGCTTGAATCGTTAGCCTCCTCGGCGCGGTAGCTGCTCTAAGCTAACAGAGTCAGAGTCAATCAGTGCGACGTGAAACAAACAGCAAGACGTGTCTCAGAGTTTCGTGCTACCGTGCCAGGTGCCAGTCAGAGTCAGAGTTTTTGCAAAATCAGCTCTGTGAAGCCCGCGGTCGCTCGCCCTGTGTCCATGCCTAGATTACTTCCGTCTAGTGTCAGAGTCATAGAATGCAACCTTGATAATATGATGGACCGGGGCCAGCAGAGCCAGTGTCATACCTAGCAGCGTGCTGGGATAGAAAATAAAAGGGCAGATGAGAGTCCTGCAGCGGCATGCCCGATTCCAACTTGTTGAAACAAATGTTCAGCTTGATCCTGCCAGGCCGCCAATGGAAGCATCGGTGAGAGTCAGAGTCATGCCGGAGAGAAAAACAGTGTGCACAAGGGTGCCTGCAGTTGTCATTGCGTCAACGTTAAATGCCCTTCAAACCCGCAGTTTAGGAAAATAATTTTCAACAGCCCCAAACGCCAACACAGTTAGAGAACTACCCGGAATGTTGACGATGAGGGTTTTTGTTACTACATGTGTTGAGATGTCTGTGTAATCTAGATGTTGGGGTTCAGCAAGTTCATTCTTGGGACCCTACAACATCGAAACATAATACAAGAACCTGATTGAGAAACCCTGCATAGTGCTAGAACCCCAAAACATTAGGATCTATAAAGGACGCAATAAAGGCCCAAGGTTTCTTAGCACGTGCTGACAGATCGGGGTCCACTATACTAGATTGAATGGATGCAACTCGTTCGATTTTTTCCGCTGCGCACTGCAGTTGCTGCCTTGTTGCGGTACATTGCCTGCTTTGTGTAGCCGTCGCGGTGGTCATGGCCAGAGTGAGGTCTCTGCAATCGTTCAGACACTGCCATGTTTGTAGTGTGTGAAGAGCTGATGCGCAGCACTTCAGTAAGGGTTGAAGGGGGAAGAACTCGCATTCGGGTTTCGAATTCCGGTTCTGCAGCTTACAAATGCTACAGGTTACAGCTGTGGTGTTTGAGATGGGTCGATGCTGTAGGGAAGTTCGGCCCGAGGTCCCTCAGTCGAGGCTATCCTCGAAGTTTTTTGTCTGCTGTACCCGCGGTACCTTGCGGATGCTATCTTTCGCGTTTGGTTCATCAGGGTAGTGCTGGCATAGTTCAGGTGTGGGTGCTGGTTAAGTTTGTTTTGGGGGTTTAATCTGGTGGAGTCTTGTTGGTGAACTCAGTCGAAAACCCCTGAACTCCCTCGTCTGTTTGCCTGCCCAGGCACGATGTCCAGATGCGGGTGCCGTGCGTGGAGAAAGCCAAGGTCGGCTTAAGACGCTCCGCGAGCATGTCACAAGACCACCGCCTTCAAAGCAACAACTCCTTGTGAACCTATACTGGTAGTGAACGCACATCCAACTCAAAAGAATTCCCACGCCCTTCAACTTCTTTGATACTTCTTGTGCACCCTCGAGCGCATGAAGCCACGCAAGCTGTTGTTGTTCAGGCCGTTCTGGACATCGAGTGCAACTTGCCTGACTCGACCTTTGAGTTTAGGGGATGCAGGGCTTGCGGTTTGTCTCGGTTTCGAGTTTAGGATCAGGGGCTTGGCTTAGGGCTTATACATATTATATAGAAGTTGTTTGAGTTTGTACCATCAGTAACGTTCCGGTGCACTTCTGCACATTCGCGATACATGTAAAGCGCTGAGCCCGAAGCCTGGACGCGAAGTGCAGTAGGCTGGATACGAGTGCATGAGCCGGCAGTCCCTGAAGGCAAAACCGAAGGTCGTCGGTTCTGAGGAGAACATATAGTGTCAACATGTATCAACGGTTCTTTTGTCGTTTCCCTCGGTATAGTTCTTTAAAGCAAAAACTGAACATCTGACGGGCTTTCGAGTGCTTTGAATGCTCAGTCAGCACAACTGAGGCCATGCGGGGATTTATCCAGAAGCCCAAGCTGAATCAAATCTGGGAGTCACACTCCAGAACGCATTGAGGGGGGTCGGTTCGCAAGCGCGCGCGTGCGCACCGCGAGCATGTGAGTGCGTTTGTAGACTCACCTCGTGTGGCCTAGAGGTATATGGTCCCAAATAATGGGCATCTAGAGTCTAATAGAGGGTAGATGTCGGATAATTAACGTGGGTTTGCTGACATCCAGGCACCACACCGCTGGAGACGGCCCTGGATGAGGTCATACCCTGGATCAAGGAGCAGGCGAGTTGGGCCATGGGTTCGTTGAAGCTAGGCCCATAGCCACCTACACCCTCAATTAATCAACCTAAACCCTAAACCCTCAAACAAAAACAAACCTAAACCCTAAACCCAAGTTACTGGTTCAGTGGCTGAAGGAAGTTCACCTTGTTGGGTTTACAGGTTTGCATCTGGTGAGTTCACGATTCGGTGAAAGCCTTTCTGTAGCTACTTCACCCGTGCCATACCCTGAACCCGAACTTCCAACCCCCCAGCCCTGTCGGTGAGGCTCCAAAAGCATAATTCAACTACAAGCAAAGCAGACAAGATTGAACACAATCCAAGAGGAAGCAAGCGCCGCCCTGCCAGGTGGCGTTGGGTACCATCTGAGTGCTCCACACTTTCGGGCTGGAAGTGAGTTCGGGGGACCAAGTTTAAGTATCCTGCTTCTGTGCTCTAAAATGCGAAGGTACGAATGCTACAAGTTGGTTACAGTTCTTACAGCTCTATCTACACTCCAGGGCTCCAGCTACCTAAATAGTATGGTACTTACAAGCCATGCATTATATACCCCTATTTAGGCAACAGGAGCCCTGGGTAGGGAACTGTCAAACCTACAGCCGACTTCTTGGGCCTCTGGGCGTCTGAGAAGCTGCGTAGTATGTCCGCTGCGCTGGGGAGGCGGGTCACGACCGGTTTGCAGCAAAAGGCCCATGCTGTTCTTCGAAATTATAAAACTGTAAGAGCCCCGTAAGTAAGAAGAAAGGCCCATGCTGGTCTTAGAAATTATGTATAAAACTGTGCGAGCCCCGTATGTAAGAAGACTTCTGAATTCTGGGAGGGCTCCTGAGAAGCAGTCTTGGGCCAAGTTCAGGGATCCTTACAGTACAGCTTCGTGAGATGTCCGGTTGCTTTGACATATGTATATATATATATATATATATTTATACATATACATATATGATGTACAGTATAGATGAATAAATAAGTATGTATATACATATATATATATATATATATTTATGTATTTTTAAAAAATACACATACAAGCATACATGCATACATATATGTACATACCTACCTACCTACCTACCTACCTCCCCTGCCTGCCTGCGTGTACGTACGCACGCGTATGTATGTATGTATGTATGTATGTATGTGTATATATATATCTGGACACACCCCCCACCATGACCTACCTCGGCCTCTTTTCCATTGTAAATACCGTCAAAACCTTCTCTTGGCAGGGATTCGCGTTTGGCATACGATTCGTGTTTTGCGTAATTTTCGGGGATGATACCTTCTCTATCATGGCTGATGTGAAGTCATGTCTCTTTACAACGTCGTGCCTACTCATGTCCGCTTTCAAATTCATATGCCTGTATTCATAAGCAAGAAACATTAAAAGAAACCATACGATACGACGGCGGAAACCAAAAAAACAAAAATCCAAAAATCCAAAGCCTTTCTGAGGGGCCCGAAACTTTTGGAGTTTTTGGTTTTCCTAGGTCTTTTTTTGTTTTTTGGGCTTTGCCTTGGCGAAACCATTGCTTGTTTTGGATTTTCGGTGGAAAACCAAAAAAACACAAGGTTTTTGTTGGTGTTTCTGCTGTGTCTCTCGTGAAAAACCGAAAAACACCTATGTTTTTTTGGATTTCTGCTGGAAAACTAAAAAAACTTTAGATCTATTTTGTATTTCTGCTGGAAAACAAAAAAAAACTTGTTTTTTTTGGTTTTCTGTTGGAAAACCAAAAAAACCCTAGGAAAACCAAAAAATCCAAAAGTTTCGACCCCCCTGACAAAGGTTTTGGATTTTTGTTTTTTTTGATTTTTGGTTCTCGGAGCCTTAGAGCCAATACAGCGCGCAGCATGCTTGATCGGAAATGGTTTCGTTGTTTACGCGCAGTAGTCTTCAGATTTGCATTAGGCATTAGTGTCAGTATTAGTATCTGCGTTCTAGCGTGTTGATTAGTGTTACTGTTAGTGTTGGTGTCAGTGTCAATGTCAATTCCAATGTCAGCGTTAGTATTAGTCTGAATATAAGTCTATACAATAGGTGTACTAATGGTAGTGTTAATGTCTAGTGTGAGTTTTAGTATTCGTATTAGTCTTGGTCTTAGTCTCTGCCTTATTCTTAGAGTTAATATTAACCAGTGTATAGTCTCATATCAGTATATTCTGTATTTGTAAGTCTATGGTAACATTGTAATAGTAGTATACGAGTATATTATTTATTGGTATGTGAAAATACAGATTCTTTGGTACATTGATGTGTCTGTTTTTTTTGTATATGGTTTGAACGTGATTATTAGCATTCGTAGGAGCATTAATATTTGTATCAATAGCAGTATCGCTGTTCATACTATGCATAATCGTATTAGCTGGAGTATCAAGTGGTAATACTGCTATTCATGTGAGTGTATTTTTTAATGTGAATATAAATACTGAGAATAATTAATAAGACTATGCGCATTAATCTGCGGAGGAACTGTATCACTTATGTGCATATTAGTATTAATGTTAGCATTTGCGTGTATATTGGTAACAAATAAAAAATAAAATTACTATCAATATGGGTATGTTTTTTAATATTCGTAGGAACACTAGTATTCATATTAGTATCGGTATTACTGAAAGTACCCGTCTTCGTAAAAGTATTTGTAATCATACTAATTCATATCAGTACGAGTATTAAGATGAATTATGATGCGCATATGAATACTTTCGAAGGAAATGCTGACCTTAATACGAATACCCATATTAATGTCCTATTATGTATAATCGCAGTAGCCTGAG